AAAAAAAAAAAGTAAAATTAAATATAAAATTTTCATCAGTTTAAAAAATATTATCACTTAGAGTTATTTCGAAAATGAAATAAAAGTAAGAATGTCTGACAATTTGCATTGTTTTGTTTTTGTTCGTAAAACAATGATTGTTGCTGTTGCATATATATCGGCAGAGAATGCTAGATGAATAAATGGCAGCGATGTCACCGACGAGAAGTACGATTGCGCGCCTACCAACAATCGAAATCACAATTTGTTTTTTGATTTGGATAGCACATTCCTTCGCGGCATTTTATATCGCATGGAATGTCTCCTTCAATTTTCGCGACAGTTTAGTTCTAAAAGCTAGCAGGTATGATTTTGAAGTATAAATTTGGAATTCTATTCCTTCTGACCGGAAAAATTTCCATCAACAAAATGTTGATGGAAATTTTTTTTGACCACGTTGTTGAAGAATGGAAAATTAATCGCAACTCTCATCCGATGGATACAGTACAACTGTCATCAAAAAAAGCAAGTCAAAATTATTCATATTAACCATTATAAATCCTTAGAATCCAGAAATGACATAGATTTGAATTTGAAAAATTCGTTTGAATAACGCATAATTTCAGATATATAAATGGTTATCAAAAAGATCACTCCGATTTTGAGTGGGATTATTTTATCAAGTCGCTAAGCCGGATATTAATTATCAATATTTCACATATGGGTAATTCAATCTGTTTCACACAATTTACCTCTAATATTTTTTTTTTGTGTTTATATATCAATTAATGAAAGTTGTCAAAATTGTGTTAATCTAGCGTTTTATTTGCAGTGCTATTCAAAATTTGCCCATTTCTTTTGCCAAAACTGTTGTCGCAGTGTTTACTGCTGGTATTTTGGATTGCTGCAGAGATCTTTTTCACAAGGTCAGGGTAATAAGCAATAATTAAAAAAAATTTTTTTAGTCTTTCAAATTCAAATTTATTACCTAAACATTGGAAGAACACAAAGCACAGTGACAGCTTCCTGTAAATTTTACTTTAATTATCTGCTCACTTAAATACTGTGGAAAAAAAATGAATTTCAGTATCACCTGCGTTATAATTGTATTCATGCTAGCTGTCGTAATGGGTATTCTAGCGAATTATTGCCGCAATGAACTAGTTTCATGGTTTATCCTCATAATCTTCATACTTAAGATCCATTCGATCATAGATTTCAGTGAAATTGGTGTTGTTCATTACAGAGAATTCAATTATTATCTTTATAGCGTTATAAAGGTTAGCGCACTTGCTTATACTGTCTCAAACTCTTGAAGCTATATCTTTTTTTTCCAAATTTAAGGTTTGTTTTTATATTAAATGATCTGCTTATTTTACAGATTCTTAATTTTTGTATTTACTTGTCACGAACGAAGGACGTAAACGTCACTCCATTTTTAATTTTTCGTTATATTCAATACTTATTTTACCCGCCGTATTCAATTATTCTAATTGTTCTATTCGATGATTTTGATGCAGAAATGACAGAGATTGAAAACAGTTCCTCAAAACGCATAAATTACAGGTTATATGATTTTTGCTAAAATTCATTTCTTCTCGTTGCACGAATAACTTTTAGACCAGAAAAAATAGGGCCTAGTTAATTGGAGAAAATGATAAACTTCGACTTATGACTAACTTGTGCAAAATTTTCTAACCAGTTTAACAATTAATGACAATTAATCGCAAGCAAAAGATAAAAAATTAGCTAATAACTCACAAATTGACATCATTCTATGTTAGAATTTGTACGGGTCGAAAAGATTCATATTTCAACAACGTTAATAATGTTTTTGAAGGATTATTATAGGCTTTTGAGCAAATTCTATTCCTAATTCTTTCATAAAAAAGAGGTTTTAAAGGATTTTTCGATAGAGGCGTGTAAAAAAGTTGTAAAGGCTGCATTGGATTTAAAGATAATGCATATAGCGTACTCAAAATTTATTGATTAATGAAGCTGCTATTTATTTTTAATGAATATGAGCACTGTACCTCGTTTAGAAGTTTTGAAAAAATATCTGGCAATGTTCATTTCATCATTACTTTATAATGTTTTATTCATTATTGTGAAAAAAAGACCAAGGTTTCGAAAGTGTAGATATTTTCAACACAAATAACGGATATTTTCACATTTAATATGAAACATTACCTGATTATTTCGTCCTCATATTTTTGATAAGCAAGATCTACAGATTTTGAAATGCTTGCGAGAGAAATTAACATAATGACATATGCAAATCTCGTATTTAGTCACTTTTCAGATCTTGATATATTTTATACATCAGAATGCAGATAATTTAATAACATGGGAGAAAATTTTATCATGCTCTTTTCAACCTATTTACACATATTTTTACTGTCTCATCTCTTCATTGAAAATAAATTTCGAAGAGTTTAATATAAGTAAAATAAAAGATAAATTTGCGATCTTTTTAGAGTTTTGCTGGTACGCATGGTACGAATTATCGTGTGGTTCATAACATTCGAAATGATATTACATTTCATCCATGTTCATGCAGTGCTTGCCGTCAATCCAGATTTATTCAATACTCTCAATGAGTATCAGTGTAAGTCGCATCGCGTCTGGAACTTAATTTTAACATATAAGAAATTTATTATCTTTATTACACCATTCCTATTCTTTATTACACTAAACAACTGAACAATGAAGTATGAATATGACAGGCACAAATATGCGAACAGACATCAAATAAAATGCTATTATTTTTAATTATCACTCATTATCTACTGTTACCACGATTATTTTATTACGCTATTTGTAATAACTTCTTCTATATTTTTTTTTCAAAGCTTTTATAAACATAATTACAAATTATAACTATTGTAGTTAATTATAATTCTATTACAGTAGCGAGTGTATCTTATGTAAATGGCAAATTGTTTTATATGAAATATTTGTTGGTCTTTGGAATTCCGGCTTGGTTCGCTTTGGCTGATGGTCTGAAACCTCCAGCGGGACCAGTATGCATATCTCGTATCAGCAAATATTCGCAGATGTGGCGCAATTTCGATAGAGGCCTATATATATTCCTCAAGAAACAAGTTTGCATTGATCTATTTTCATCATTTCATAGCCGTAGAAGGGAAGATTCATATCTATTTTTATTTACAGCACTCCCACCTTGATGGAAATAATTCGACTTTCTACTTCAGGTATACATACCGGTATCAGGTAATCCGAGCAGTAAATACTTCTCACTACGTCGTTTCGCTGCATTGGGATGTGTATTTCTCTTTGTACTTGCGTGGCATGGAACTTCCTCAAATTATTTTTACTGGGTTCTACTTAACGCTCTCGAAATATGCATGGAGTGGTTTGGAACAGTATTATATGAAACTGCTTTCTACGGCAAGATCCAGAAATTTTTGGGGCCCAGAGGAGAACGACGGCTTATCGCATATTTGATGACAATTACTGTTGTGCCCGGTAAAACTTTTGTTCTATGCTTGATGGTGACTCATCATTATAACTGCTTCCAATGAAAATAGGACCAAACAGTACTGAGAGATTTAGAACTGGAGAATAATTTAAAACGAATTTTTTCAAAATTTAAAAAATTTATGAATTTAAAACAGTTTGAACGAAGACCGACTGTTACCGAGAGAATCCTTTATTCAATATTCGTAATGTAAAACTTCTCACAATTTAAAGCAGGAACAGACACAGTGAATTGATAGTGTAGGATTTGACGCGGTGACTTAGCACAGTGAACTGGATCACCAGATGGATCTCGAATATAGTGCAGGAATTACACAGCAAGTTTTATTTTAGGAATTTTCGGTGTATTTTTTTTTCTGAGTCGAAAAGAAATTGGAATTATTATTTTTAAACGCTTGTATGTCAATTTAATTGGTGCAGTTTTCTTGGATTTGCCCTACAGGTACCGTTCAATATTTTTCCAATTAGATGCAACAAAAAAAGCAAGTCTCCAACAGAACTGAATATTTTCCCAAATTTCGGGCAAGCAGTTGCTGAACATCATCCCAAACTATAAGTTGTTCTTGGCTAACAAAAAAATGGAATGGATTGCAGCTACACAAACAAAAATTGCACGATAATCTGAAGCACATTTTAGGAATTGATTTTAGGTCACTTTATTATTATGCGATAGCTGCGCATTTCGTAATACTTGGATATTGCTTTAATCACGTTTGCCTTGAGCTCGAAAAATATCACACCGACAAACGGGTTCCGAAGGATGAAGTCAAACAAAAAGTAGTGTAAGCCGATATCCGGTCGTGAATATATAGCGCCTACGAATATAAATCTTTGCAGACAGAATGAGGAAGCAGCTAATAAGCTTTGCAATGTCGCGACATTTACGAAACAAATCATACATGGGATCATATTATAATTTTTCTGCTAATATTTGTTGTGTTGATAACAAATATTTAAAGGGAGTAGAATAAATAAAATTAATAGTATAGAAATTGTAATGGTATTTTTGCAACATCCGTTACACGCAAAGCGAGCCACGTATGTTGAAACACATTTCCGCATAATACTTGTATAAATTAGCAACTTCAATCAGTAGTATTATTAGTTAATGACACGATAGCAAAAAATTTAAATGCATTAGTGGACATGTGAAAACTATTTCGTCATAGTTGTGCAGTTCTCACATATGAATGACGCGAACAAAATCTATTAATACCAAATCAAAATAATAAAGCTTTCACCAGTAACAAACGGAATAGAAGATGCATACCGGCTACACAACTAATTTCATGTTTGGAAATGAAGATTCAGATAGAACTAGTTAGGAAAAGAGACGGTACTGGAAAATTCGGTCCTATGGAGTAATCTTCGCCTCTGAATTCCTAAGTAAGATAATTGCTGAAATTTCAATCGATTTCCAATGCGCTCAAGTGTTTGACGTACACATTTCATGATCCCACCCTCTGCAAACCCGACCTGAATATTTCGTGTTATAGCAGTAGCAGCGCTTAGCCACGGTGGAGACATTTTCATAAATTCCAAGCTAATCAGACTTCAACAAACATCTTGGAACAAAGTTATTATTAATATGCCTAAGCCAGTGAGAGTGTCACATAAAGAATAAACGCTGCACAATACACAACGACGCGCTCCCCCTTCATGCAGGCCAGATGTTAATTCCTCCCCACTCCTTGCTTGAATATATAGCTGCAGCAGCCTCACCGTACTGAGAATTTTGCAGTTTTTGACTGTCACGATATGAAATAACTGTTGAGAATGCGTTGTTGTGAGAACATTTGATGCTGTGTGTGTCGGTCAGATGGGGTGGTGGCGTGAGGTGGCGTTCCCACATGGTTGATCTTGTTCGTTCCAGTATTTCTCGGTTATTAATTTCAGGAAACGTTATATTCAGGACAAATATTCGGGGAATAGCGCTGTGCTCGTGTTAGTGGGTTTTGGGAAATCGTGTAGCAAACGTTTTATCTTCATATAATTTGCTGTCGTTCACATAGCTTTTCGGCTTCACAATGGGAAGTAAGCATTATACTTATTTTCTTCCCATCATTTCTGTGCGTGTAATTTAATGCTGTGGCATATTTTCTTAGACCATTAGAAAATTAGCGATATCATGCCGAATTGTTGCATAAACCTTCTGGTTATTATTTAAATTTAAACTAGTGCTTTTAAAGTAAAAAAGTTTCATTTATCCGGATATACAGGTGTCTCACCTATCTCACGAAAATGAGAATGTAAAGCCAGTTCACTTTGTAAATCTTTTAAAGGGACAACACTTTCCACTTATATGAATTTTTTGCAGAAATTTTTCCAATAAAAATTTAGTCGAAGAATCATAACTGCGAAATTTCTAGAAAAGTTTTTTTTTATTTGACAAAATGATTCATTTGGTTGGAAAAGAGGCTATTCTTTTCCTGGAAAAAGATTGATGGCTTCCTCTTACTTAAAATTTTAAAATTCTGAATGATGTAAGTAAAATTTTTTTTCTGGTTTCAGTAAAATTTTTGGAATTTGTGAAGCCGTTTTGCGGTTTTGTGCCGGAAGTGTCAAAACCTGAAAGAAAAATTCAGTTTCGCGAAAAAATGTTATGGACAGCAATTACATTATTCGTATTTCTTGTTTGCTGCCAGATACCTTTATTTGGTACGTGCTTTTTTAATCCTTAACTGCACTGGAACTGGTCAGAAATAGTAATATTAAAAGACGGCAGAATTTATTATATATATATATATATATATATATAT